CCCCTGCCTAGAATCCCCCAGTGAGGGGCTGGGGTGTGGCTCAGTGGTAGAGCTCCTACCTAGAATCCCCCAGTGAGGGGCTGGGGTGTGGCTCAGTGGTAGCACTCTTTTCAGTAGAGTTCTTGTCTAGCATACACAAGGTGTTGAGTTTGAGCTCCAGTATCAAGAATAGAAAAAGAGGGGTTGGAGAGATGGCTCAGCAGTTAAGAGCACTGGCTGCTCTTCCAGAGGGCCTGAGTTCAATTCCCATCAACCATATGGTGGCTCACAACCATCTCTAGTGAGATCTAATGACCTCTGCTGGCATAAAGGCATGCATGCAGATAGAACACTCATATACATAAAATAAATAAATAAATCTTTAAAGAGAAAAAGAATATACCTAGGGCTGTGGAGTTTGCTTTTGTAGATTTAATTTAATTTCCAGTACCCACATGGTGGCTGACAACCACCCTAGTTCCAGGGGATCCAACACTCCCTTCTGACTTCCTCAGGCATCAGCCATGCATGTGGTACACAGATATACAAAAAGGCAAAACACTCATACATATAAAATAAAATAAATCTAAAAAGAATATTTAGAACAAACACAAACCAAGAACCTCCAGGGCCACTTGATGCCTTCACAACTAGATAGATGGAGAAATGACTTCTGCAGCCAGGAACCTAGAATCTTTTTTTTTTTTTTTATGGAAATACGAGTTGCATTTCCCCCTGGCTCTTCCATCTTCCAAAGGGGAAGCCAATTATGTTGAAGGAGAAACTACGGCACACACAGGGGGACAGTATCCCCACTTCACTGAAGGAACTGAGTCTCCAGCATGCTTTGAGAGTCACCTCCTCCAGGAAGCCCCTCCCCTTCAAGGTGACTGTAGTATTTGGGGTAGGAATTGTACATCTTCTTGTCTTATGTGGTTCAGAGTTTTTCCTGGGATCTGTGCCCTCTGAATTGGGCAATCTTTATTTTTGTTTGTTTGTTTGTTTGTTTGTTTGTTTGTTTTTCAAAACATGGTTTCTCTGTTTGGCTCTAGCTGACCTAGAACTGGCTCTGTAGACCAGGCTGGTCTCAAACTCAGAGATCCATCTGCCTCTGCCTCCCGAGTGCTGGGATTCAAAAGCGTGCACCACCACCTCCCAGCTGACTTGGGCAATCTTCTCTACCTCTCTCGGTTATGTAATTGAAGCTTCAAAGGTAAAAGGACTGGTCCAGGACCACCTGGACCATACTTCACTGCAGAGTCACTCTCCTGACTGGGCAGAGCAGTAGAGCAGACTGTAAAGGTGCATACTTTTTCTGAAACAAGCCTAAAGAGAAAGTGTCCTCTCAGTTCTGGAAACCTAGAATCTTACCACACATGGCATGGACTTCCACATAAATTAGTAGCCCCAAAACATCAACAGTGCCAAGTTCAGTGTCTAAAGTACATCCCGCCTTGAGTCCAAGTTCCATTTGGAACAGGCTGGAAAGTCAGAACACAAGAAGAACACAAAGTCCTTTAAAAAAAAAAAAAAAAACCCAGTGAGGCCATCACAGGAGATGCCTCTCAAACCGGTTTCAGAGCCAAGGGACTAGAGTGAATTCAGCACTACACCCTCCCCTCAGAAGTAGGGGCTGATGCCATGGGAAACAGGAGACCTGTAATCCCACAAGGAAGTTTTCACCCCTCTCCCAGGACCTGCCCTAACCAGCCTTTCCAGGGTTGTAACAAAACCATCTGCCCACCTCCACCTATCACGTGCCTGAGACCTGAGGTGTTGAATTGCCTCCTCCACCTCCGGAGGACAGCAAAGTTGAGTGCACTTCCAAGGGCTCCCCAGACCCTTGCCCTCAGTGAACCTCTCTCTCGCCCTGCCCCAGCTTTGGCTTTAACAGCTCTTCTGGACAGAAGTTGAGAAACTTGGACCAGTTTCCAAGATGAGCGCCAAGGACAGACATGGGTAGCGGAGGGGGACTCAGGAGAGTAGAAGGGAGACCCCATATAAGCCAGGGAGGGAGGCAGGGAAAGCATGATCTGAGTTCTTTTTCTGTGGCCCTCTTTTTCTCCCTCACTCTCCTTCATCCTCAGCCAACTAAATTCACGGTCACAGAAGCGTGAGCCACAGAGATGGAGGGAGATGAGAAGAGGCTGCAGCCTAGAAGAACCTACTGGGAGATAAGGATGGGAGAAACACAGAGAGAAAGAAAGAAAGAAAGAAAGAAAGAAAGAAAGAAAGAAAGAAAGAAAGAAAGAAAGAAAGAAAGAAAGAAAGAAAGAAAGGAAGGAAGG